CTGTTTCTTTTTTTCCTTTTTCAGCTTTGCTATGGGTTTGTCAATTGTATTTTTATTTTATTTATCTTTTCAAAGATCATTGCTTTTTTCTATTTTTCTGTTTTCAGTTTTACTGATTTCTGCTTTTAACTTTATTTCCTTCCTTCTGCTTGCTTCAGTTTTGTTCTGCTTTTTTTAAAATAGGAGTTTGAGGTGGGAGTGTACATTATTGCTTTAAGAGTTTTTTTTAAACATTTGGTGCTATACATTTCCTTTTCAGTTCTGGTTTAGCAGCATTCCACAAATTTTGATATTTTCATTTTCATGGAGTTCAATGTATTTTTAAATTTCCTTTGACACTTCTCCTTTGGCCGTATTCCTTTGGAATACTTGGAAGCATGTTGTTTAGTTTTCAAGTGTTTGGATATTTTTCTGTTACCTTTCTGTTACTGATTTCTAGTTTGATTCCATTATAATCAGAGAACACACTCTGTGTGGTTTCAATTCTGTTAAATTTGTTGAAGTTTGTTTTATGGGCTACCATAGGGGCTCTCCTGAATTATGTTCCACATGTGGTTGAAAAGAATGTGCATTCTGCTCTTGTTGGGTGGAATGCTTTATAAATGTTGATTAAATCCTATGGGTTGATGATGTTGGAGTTCTTCTCAAGAACTCAGATTGCTTATTTCCTGCCTAGTTATTCTGTCAGTGATTGAGAGAGGAGTGTGCATTTGTCCGTTTGTTCAGTTCTCTTAACTTTTGCTTTGCATATATGTGGAGCTCTTTTGTTTGATGTATACACATTAGGATTTCTGTGTCTTCTTGGTGACTCAGCCCTTTCATCATTATGTAATATGCCTTTTTATCTCTGTTGTTCAGATTGGGTAATTTCTATTGTTTTGTCTTCAAGATTCTTTCTTCTGTCCTCTCCATTCTGCTGTAGAGCCTAGCCATTGACTTTTAAAAACTGCTTATTATATTTTCTGGTTCTGAAATTTCTTTTTAGTTCACCTTTATATCTTTTTTTTTTCTTTGCTGAGACTTTCTATTTTTTTTTAATTTGTTTCAAGTGTGTCCATAATTGCTGTTCAAGCATTTTTATGATGGCTACTTTAAAATCTTCGTTAGATATTTCTGATGTCTTTGTCATCGTGGTGTTGGCATGTATTGATTGTCTGCTTTTCATTCAGTTTGATATTTTCCGGGTTCTTGGTATAATGAGTGATTTTGAAATAAAACCTGGGCATTTGGGATATTATGTTATTTGACTCTGGGTCTTATTTAAACCTTTTTTTTTTTTAAGTTGGCTTTCTTTGACACAGATGTAGCAGAGGAAGCGGAAGGCATCCTCTCATTTCTGCCAGGTTGGGGTAGAGGTCCAGGTTTCCAACGCAGCCTCTGTTGACACCTCAGGGGGAATCCTTCTTGTTGCTGCTGAATGACAGTGAGAGTTCCAGCTCCCTGCTAAGCTTACACTGATACCTCCCTGGGTTGGGCGGGGGATGAGGGTGGGGCTCATTATCACTGGGCCGAGAAAATCCTGACTCTCCACTGCACTTCCTCTGACCCCACCCCTGTGAGGAGGAGAAGGGGTGCTTCATTACCTCTGGGTGCTGGTGGAAGTCCAAGCTCTCTACTGGACTCTCTCTGACACTACCCATTGTAAGGAGGAAAACGAGGTTGGGTGCTTCCTTACAGCCTAGAGAAGGGGGAAATCTAGGCTTCCGTAGCAGCCTTTGCTGGCCTGGGTGGGAATCGGACCACAGCCTTTTCTGTGATGTTTGGCTATAGCAAAGTGGTTACTGTCTAAAAGTTTTCTGTCTTTTGAGACTGCCCCTTTCCCAATGCTTTTGCTAGAGAGAGTGGGCTTTCGTTGGGACTATTTTTCTGTCTGCACCGATTTGTGCTTTCAGGCTGTTGGCTTCTTCACCTCCAAGTCTGGGAATATATGAGACAAAAAGAAAACCTGGTGACCTCACCACTGTGTCATTCCTAGTCAGTTTGCTCTCTTTTCTATACCTTTCAGAGTCTTTTTACATTCGTTTTACATATAATGTCCAGGGCTTTTAGTTGTAATTAGATAGAGGAATAGGGAAAAGCACATCTACTCCCTCTTTGTAGAAGCTGATGCCCC